ACACGGCCTAGTGCGCACACGCGGGGGGCTGCGGCGTCCCGGAGACACGGCCGGGCCTTGCAGCCCAGAGGCGGGCAGGGGGGCCACCGCGGGACGAAGAAAGCAAAGGGTCCCAAATAATCCCAGGTTGTGTTGTTTCCCCTTTCCAGGCGGGACACGATGGAGCCTTTTTATCTCTACGACCTCGGACTCCTAACGGAAAACAAAGCTATTCGGAGGCTCCTCTGCCCCATGGCCACGCAGCTCTGCCATCTAATCCTCACCCTGGAATGGGAAGATGGGATTTGTCAGGCCTTTCCCGATTTAGGGGAGAGTGCAGAAAAATTAGCCAAAGCCACGGAAGAACTCGCTTCTGTTGCCAGAAGGTAAATTTGCCGGGTGCCTCTCGGGCAGGTTTGGGGGCTGGGAAGGAGGAGGGAGGGATGGCAAAGAAAAGGGCAGGGAGCCTGCCTCTCCTGCCTGGTCCTCCTCGCCTGCGCCCCGCCGGAGAGGTGGCAACACGAGCATGAAGGGATGGGGAATGTGAGGGGAGGAATTGGGTGAGGAAGGGAAAAGGAGAGATGGGACAAAGCAGGGATGCGTGTTTGGAAGGGACACGGCAAAGTAAGTGGAACCTCAACATGCAACATTTAAGCTAAACACGTCTGCAAATAACAGTTGGACAACTGAGCAAATGCTCACCTAGGACCTGGTAGACTGCAGACACCCTGTCTTAAAGTGAACTGCAGCCACAGCAACAGGTTCTGAAACAGTTTGCAAATACAGCTGAAACCCGTTCAAGCCCAGTTAAGGTCTGGCGTGGCCAATTGTTGCGATAAAGCCCGAGACTGGCGCGTGCTACCCGCCGAGGCTGGCACTCATGCAATGGCGAAGAGCTGAGCCCAGTGACTTCTGTTGCAGGTTGGCTGAGGAGTCCAGTGACGACGTGTTCAGGGAGGAGACGCGTCCCGCGGCCGAGTCCCTCGTCCTGGCAGGGAGGTGCGTGCTGCTGGCAGCCCGCAAGCTCCAGGTACAGCCCGACAATCCCAGCCACAGGGAAGAGCTGGCTGCCTCGGCAAAAAGGGTCCTAACAGAGACACTGAAGGTAACCGCGGAGGGGAACGTTGCCGGAGCGAGCAGGGGAGGAGGTCGGGCTGGTAAGGGTGCAGCTGCAAGAGGGACAAGAGCTGCCCTCCACCAGGACACCAGAAGGAGCTTGGGGGAAGTCCTCACTGGAGCAATGGTTATTTCTTCATCATGTGCTCACCAGGGCAGGTCTGCTGGGCAAAACACACCTCTTCCCTACAAGGGCTGCGGTGTCATTTTGGCTGCACAAGGGGAGAAATAGTGAATGGGGATTCTTGAGCCTTAGCCACTCTGACCAGTTTTTCTGCCCTTTTTTCTGGTTAGATCCTTCAGATCGAAGATGCTGCTGGGGTGAGGAGGATAATTCAGGCTGCCAGCTGGCTTTTGGAGTGCCTGAGCATGCTGCGGGATGCAGGGGACATGCCAGGACTGCTGGCTGCTTTCCAGGCCTTTTCCGAGGCCTTGCTTCTGCTGAGCAATCTGACAGCAAAGCGCCTCGAGGAACTCGGAGATTGTCCTCGACAGAAGAGCTTGTCCCAGACTTTGCAGCTCCTTCAGAAGTGCGTTCCTTTGCTCCATGCAGCCAAGCACACCGATCTTAAACACCCCTGTGATCGGCAAGTCAACCTCTCCAAAGACTACGCTTTCCAGCTGACGGAGAGGACCATCAAAGAGCTCGCATCCCTGCTCATCGACAATACGAGCAGCAAGGAGCCGCGGGACAGAAATGGGACCTTCTCCCAGCATGTGAGCAGGCTGCTG